CAATTAGCGATGTAATGGTTTTTGCGCGCGCTGGCCGACTGCCGCCGCTGCGCCGAGATTTCCTATACCCTTGTATATATGACGTCATGGTGTGGCAAATGTAGCATTTTAATTCGATTTGGGCTCCCTTATATAGGATAACAGAAACATTTTCAATGTTAAAACTTACAAATATCTAGATATAGGTAGGCATTTTTCGTAAACCAGACAGAATGATCCCTTAAGCTTCATTCAGAACCTCCGAATTAGTGGAATAAATTAGTGGTTTCAATTAACGTAGAAGTTTGTTCCTTTAATTTCAATGTAAGCATTCAGAACGTCTAAATTAGTGGTAGTCATTTTCAATTAGTAGAAAAAGTGAACAAACTTTTGACTTTTCCACTAATTATACTTCAAATTTTGCGGGAAATGTCATTTTGGCCATTGATTAGCATCCGTCAAGAGAAATCGTGGTTAGAAATCAAAAGTTTATTGTTTTATAAGCTAAATATTTGGCTTTCTTTATGGGTACAACATCGGATATAACTGACTACCGCAAGCTGTTGCTAGGATATTCTATTAATTTTAATTGTTTTTTTTAAACATTGTGAATGATCGTAAACTAAAAATTAAAAAATGTAAACCTTCATTCAGAACCTCGCAATTAGTGGATTAAATTAGTAGTTTCAATTACACTTTATACATTTTAGATTACGATCATTCACAATGTCTAAAAAACACAATTAAAATTAGTAACAGAATATCCTAGCAACAGCTTGCGGTAATCAGTTGTATCCATAGAGAAAGCCTAATATTTAGCTTATAAACTTTTGATTTCTAATCGCATTTTTCTCTTGGCAGATGATAATCAAAGGCCAAAATGACATTCCTCGCAAATTTTGAAGTATAATTAACGGAAAAGTTGAAGGTTTGTTAACTTTTTCCACTAATTGAAAATTCCTACCACTAATTTTAACGCTCTGAATGCTTACATTCAAATCAGAGGAACAAACTTCTACGCTAATTGAAACCAGTAAATTATTCCACTAATTGCCAGGTTCTGAATGAAACTTTAGAATGTGTTCAAAAACTAAATGGGCGTTTTAAACTAAAATGAATACTTGATAGAAGAACGTAAGGTGCATACTAGACGCTTTGTGGAGCATTTTTTTTGATTTTCAACCATATTATATTATGATTTTGGCGCCCCCTGATATTGGCGCCCGGGGCAGGTGCCCCGGTTTGCCCACCCTTAGATCCGGGGCTGAAGGGATGACCCTGTACCTGAGTTTTTATATTAATAAATATTTTAAGCTGACTTCCATTTTTTTTACTATTTCTAATTAAATTCCTAGGTCGTATACGTCGTTGAAAAATGTACGTCCATAGTACGTACATTGTATATCCATAGTACGTACATTGTATGTCCATAGTACGTACATTGTACGTACTTTCGATCATTTTACATCCAGTTTTGGTCCGGAACAAAACATAAAATGTACGTCCCTGGAATGTACGTACATGCGACGTACATAGTACGTACTTTACCACATCCCAGGGACGTACCGGGACATACATAGCGTTGGAAAATGTACGTACCAGAGACCTAACGTTCGTCCCAACATTACGTACCAGGTACGTACATAGTACGTACCGTGGCTGTATGGGAAGGGTGATAAAATAGTTATCGGAAAATGATAATAAAAGAAACAAGTTTAGATTGGAAAGTGCCCATAAGGGCAATGTTTTGGGACAATGTAAATACTATTTGGCGCTATTCTAATTATTGTCGCTCTCCAAAGCTTTTGATAATTTCGGAGTGGTTCGGCTTTTTCCGGAATTATGTAGCCAAATATTATTTATACAAATTTATTATTATTTCCTTTTAATTTTTTAAATAAAATACAGTGTATTGCATATTAGAAACTTTATTTTATATAAGAACATGTATGAAATATCTATGAAAACATTTGAAACCGACGTTATGCTACGATCAACGATGGTTTTTGTAGTTCACAGTTCAAACAGCTTTTTAAGTTTTAATTCCATTTTTTCACAATTATCACGGGTTTGAGTAAATAAAAAATAAATTAAACTCTAAGTTAGCAATAATTAATTTAAAATGGGCGCTTTTAACACTATTTATTTTCCAAACGGTATTTTTTCAATGAGGGCGGTTTAAATTTTAAAAGAATTTATAAGTTTTGAAGACTTTCACAAGAGAAAAAACAACTATTTCTGTTTTTGCTTGCGTTGTTCTTAGGAACCGCTATAGCAGCGCCCTACAACGTATGCGCTTCAAAACAATTATAAGTTTTTGGCGGCAAGCCGAGCATTCTTATCTAAACTTGTTTCCTTTATCTATGATATAACGTTAATCAAAATTAATAATAATACAGATTATACAGGGTCCGGCAATAGTGCGTCGGGCATCTGTAGCTCCTAGAATAAAAAACTTGATAATTTTGTTTAAGTGCAGACCTACAGTATGTACCAGGATGTATTTCGGGAAAATATTTTAACTTCTATAGGGTGGCTCAAAAAAGTGTGAGTGGAATTTTTCTTCGTTTTTTTAAATGGAACACCCTGTATATTATTTTTTCAATAGACGGAGAATTAAAAAATGAACATTTTTTGTATTTAGAGTATTTCAAAATTTTGAACGGTTTCGCAGATATTTGCGGTTTTATATTTCATATGGCATTTTCCACAGTAAATTTTTATCAAAGCCAACCAATGATTTTTCTCTCATATTTTACCATTGAAAGCGCCATATGAAATAATAATAACTGCGTGTATTTGCGAAATCGTTAAGAATTTTGAAATACTCTAAATACAAAAAATGTTCATTTTTTTACTCTCCATCTAATAAAAAAATAATATACAGGGTGTTGCATTTAAAAAAACGAAGAAAAAATATTTTCTATTTTAGAAAGTTTGGCGTAGAATATTGAACATCCTGTATGATTTACGATTATCATATTTATAGCAAAGTGAGAACAGACCATCTAATGTAAATACCTAATATAGTTTTGCTTTCAGGACAGTTTTTGTATTTTTAATAATTTTTTTAAGACGGGCTGAAAAATATATATTTTTGATTTATTTTTTAATATCTCTGAAACTATCGAAATATATTTATTCATATCTTAGGGTTATGTAAAGTGATCTGAAAGGAAGCCAAAAATGCAATAATATACAGGGTGTTCCATTTAAAAAAAATCATCCAGGTCCGCTCACACTTTTTTGAGCCGCCCTATAGAAGTTAAAATATTTTCCTGAAATACATCCTGGTACATACTTTAGGTTTGCACTTAAACAAAATTCTCAAATTTTTTATTCTAGGAACTACAGATGCCCGACGCACTATTGCCGGACCCTGTATAGATTATAAACTTATCGTCAAAAGCATTGTTTTTCGTGGTTCCAATTTTCGGAGTCGCGCACTAGTTAGGTTACTAGTTTGCACACATAGCACGCCCACTTATGGCGTCTAAAATTGCACAGCGCCTGACCGGCCCAGTTATTACGCTGTTTAACCGTGGGTTTATTTTTGCGCACAGGAAATTTTACTCGTTTGCTCATCGTCATAAAAAATAATTTTCGTACCACGAATTAGGGATTAGGGACAAGATTTTTATCTGTATACATATACCTAATCTGTGATAATAACCATTTCCTTTCCAACAACCAAAGAATGAAACCGAAATTACATTACCATAGAAACACCTTTCGATTTTTAGGACTAAAAATTCATTAATTTTTTCATGTTTTGTTTTAATTTTTTCTAAAACTGTATGAATATTTAGAAAAAGATAAACGGGATTAACCATTTTAGAACAAGCAAAATTTTTTTATAAAGAATGCGATTTTCTCAAAATGTCAACAATCCTCTTATAAAGACAATCTTTTTTAACAATTAAATAGCAAAAAATTGTACATTTGTGTGAAATTAGGAAACCGGATTTTGAAACATTTATTACTTTAAATGTCAAATTTAATAGATACCCGGAAGCGACATGTTAAATTTTCTTGTCTTTATTAATTTAAATCAAAGCAAAGATTATCGCCGAAGTTCACCGATGCAGTGGGGGCTCGTGACTCGTGTGACTGGGTAGGCAACAAAATTTTAGTTGCGTCTACTGCAAACCTTATTTCTAATGTATAACAATGTTATCTAATATTTCATAAAATAACATTTATTAACATATCGAATTGATTAGCACACTGAGACTTTTGTGTAATATCTGTTGTATCGTCTTCTTGCACCGAATAACGCCCTTTATTTCAGATTCTTTTACTTCTGTGGCGTGTTTTGAAATACAACCGGATATATCATTTTGAATAACGGTTCCAATTTGTTTTAAACGTTTTTTGAATTTTCATATAAAAGTCATAATAAATAAATGCTATGTATAATGAATCATATGAAATATCCCTTAACAAAATGTGATATATTCCCTTATAAAATATCGGGAATATCCCCTTAATTTCTAAGCCTACCGAGCCTCCACGACTTCATGCGAAGGCGACCGGAGGTTTCGCCTAAGCCCCGCCTTAATATGATACAACTCCGACTTACGTCGCGTCGCTATCGCACGATGAGTTAGACAGAGACAGAAGACTGCCGTACGTCGTGCATCGAATCTGATAGTAGGCGATGTAGAAATCGCCGAACTATGGCATTTGTTCCAGCGGTCAAAATTATTTTATTAGTTTTCTAAGCCAGCGGTAGTGAATAATATACAAGACCACAAATATTAAAATAATTGATTATTATAACACACTTCTGTGTATTAACAGTATTTTTATGTATTGGCAACATTAGTAGTAAATAATGTAATGTAAGAAACCGTTCAAATTCTGCCTATTTTAGAGTAGGGGCTGCCTACCCTGACGAGCCGCCACTGCACCGATGTAACGCCACAAATGAACATATAAAAAAGCCCCATATGTCATCTTCCCTAACTCGTTGGAATGAATTTAAAATTAATTGAAATGATTTAAAAAAAGTATCTTACCTAACGAAGCGTATGCAGGACTAAAGGATATTAAAGACCCTCTAGCATCAACTCTGGCAATCTCAGTTATGTAAACAATCGCAGGACTTGTACCCCATGCTACGTAATGCTTTATAGTTACATAGTTTGCAAATAAATTAATCAAAAGTCTTACATGATCCCAAGCCCGTAAGTACTCTTCCAATAATTAACATAGGAACGTTATTTGCAGTTGCGATTGTTATCCAGCCTATAATACTTGGTATAGCTGCTAGTTTTAATGTATTTAATCGTCCTACACTATCCATCAAGAAACCGCCGGTTATCCCTCCTATTGGTGATACTAGTACAGTTGAACTAGCTGAAAAAAATAAACTAATGTAATGAACATATTTAGAAGTTTTGACTAGATTGATTCTCTCCTATATGGGTATTTCGCCACTGCAAGAAAATCTACAAAATAAAATAGTTTTTTTTGTAAACACTTCGTTAATCCCAAACGGAAATTACTTGTCAGAAGTTAGGTTTACAGATATACAAATTTGCCTAACGAACAAAAAAATGCTTAACGTTTGCTAAATTTGAAACGTTAAACATGTTTTTTTGTTACTAAAGCACAACATATTTATCTCTCAAACTTTATTACTGTTTCCTATACCTATCTGGCTCCGATTTTAAATAAAAAGCGATTTTTGGTTAAAATGGCAATCAAGATGGCTGGTGTAACCATGGCAATTTGCTAGTGACAGAAGCTATTTTCAAAATCAACATTAGCTTATGGACTTTATTTAAATTTATAACAGTTTACTTTTAATTAATTTACCTACAATAGTTTAATAAGTAGGTATTTATTGTTTTTTCAAAAAAAAATAATTCTTTTTGATTTATATTACGATGACTTGTAGATATATTGGATTTTCTATAAAAGAGCCAAGGCAAATTCATTTTTTTCACTTGCAAAGACAGGTTTTGGCCTAACAGGTTTTTCATATATGTATGTACCTCACTATCAGCTCTGCGAAATAGGAAAAGTAGTATTTCAAAGGAACGCTTGTCAAGAAAATTCCTCTTTGGATATCTTTGAGCATAAACCCTTCCTAACAATTGTTCCCAAAAAATAAAATCACTAGTAACATATCCATTCCCTCCGTCAGCAGATACTGCTTTATTTTTCTTGATAAAATAATATATATTTACCGTTAATATATAATTAACCTTATTGTAGGTAAATTAAATAAAAATAACCTGTTATAAATTTAAATAAAGTCTATAAATTAATGCCGATTTTGAAAATAGCTACTAAGTGTCACTAGAAAATTGACACCAGCCATCTTGATTACAATTTTATTGAAAAATCGCTTTTTATTCAAAATCTGAGCCAGATAGGTATAGGAAACCCTAATATAGTTTCAAAGAACATTTAAATTTGATTCGACTTAATTAAAAAAACACATAGTGTTGCATTTGTCACACAAGATAGAAATAATGAAGTTGCTCTTCCTCACAAGCTAGAAATAATGAAGTTTTTATGTAAAATAAATAATTAAAATAGACTAGCAATTTTTGATACCCCTGTATACATTTAAGGAAGCAATCAATTTTTTTAGTAAAGCTTGTTTCTCTGGCTTGAAAGTAAGCACAAGAATTAATTTTGAAAAGTAATGTACAGGGTGGGTCAAATTCGACGCTTTTAAATGGAAACACCCTTTTCTATAGAAGATAGACGAAAACTAATATCGTGTCTGGAGCTCAATTTTCATCAAAAACATGATGGTGAAAACCGCACATCAATATCTGTTACCGTTTCGGAGTTACGGGGTGTTTTTCAAAAATGTGCATTTTTAACAAATTGCTGTAACTTTTTTGCTATGTATTTACTATTTTGTATTTCTATGAAAACATTTCCAAAGCACCTTTTTACATAGAATTTAATGGTTTAAGTATAATTTTTTTAAAATTAATAATTTAAGAGTTATCAACAGAAAAATTGATTTTTTATTTGGGACACCCTCTACATTTTTAATTAGCTGAAAAGAATTTTAAATTACCTTTCCAAAAATATAGCACACTTGATATTTTGTTATAATCCCCTTCGAATTACAGAATTTTTAAAAGTTCGCCACTTTTAACATATTGATGATATGCCCCTAATGGAACTCGAAAACATATTTTTTTCAGCAAGACGACGCGACGCACCGCCTCTGAACGCTGTCAGCAAATTTTTGCAGCGAATTTCAAGAATAATTGAATAGCTAACCAAGATCCCAGCTGTTGGTCGTCGAGGCCGCCTGACTTAGTGCCCATGGATCTAATCCTATGGATATATTTGCGGAAGAATAAAGGTTCCTTATTATTCCTATAATAATCTAGATAAGAATTAGAAAAAATTAGCAGTTATGAGAGAGTATCTTTCACCCCTACTGAGTTATTGAATTCCGCGAGAAATGTTCAAAAACTGCCCCGTCTGTCCATAACATAAGACGGTCGATATGTCGAACACCTGTAGCAAAATCTCATGTCTTGGTTTGCTATTTATTTTTATTGTTATTAGATATAGTTTAAATGTGTTGATGTTGGTTAAATATATTTTAAATTGTTATAAAATTCTGCATCTCCCATAGCAAATATTATTTTCGTTTTAATTGATGCTCACAGCTAGAATTTTTTTGCATTACAGCCGGTGCCGTTCAAAGCCTACTCATTTAAAGCGGGCGAATTTTTATATACTCTATATCTCGAAGAGGAATCGTGCAAAATATCAAGTGTATTATATTTTTGAAAAGGTAATTTTAAATTCTTTTCAATAAATTAAAAATATACAGGGTCTCCCATATAAAAAATCAAATTTTCTGTTGATAATTCTTAAATTATAAAGTTAAAAAAAATTATACTTAAACCATTAAATTCTACGTAAAAAGGTGCTTTGGAAATGTTTTCATAAAAATACAAAATTTTCCAAAGCAAAAAACTTACCGCGATTTGTTAAAAATGCATAATTTTGAAAAACACCCCGTAACTCCGAAACGGTAACAGATATCGATATGCGGTTTTCACCATCATGTTTTTGACAAAAATTGCGCTTCAGACACCGATATTAGTTTTTGTCTATCTCCTATAAAAAAAGGGTGTTTCCATTTAAAAACGTCGAATTTGACCCACCCTGTACAAGGTGTTGACAAACTTTTTTTATTATAGCATGTATATTTAAATATCTTTAAATATCTCGAAAACCAAAGCTTTTAAACATATTAAACCTTTATAATAAATGCCTTATTTTATGTCCAAGAATCCAAAAATGATATAAAATACAGGGTGTTCCATAAGAAAGAAATATAACTTTGGTATGGATCTTAGTTCTGACACACCCTGTACATTTCAAAATAATTTTAAATTATGCATATTGTCTTCCCACATATACCCATAAAATATTTTGTTACTACATCTTTCCGTTTTCGTATAATCAACCGAGGCGAATGAGGTGCGCCACCCTGTATTATGTAATACTTTTTGTAAATTTTTGGTTTTAGTTTAATAAAACGAAACTTTTGTTTACATTTAGTTTAATACTTAGTTTGATATCCTTACCTATCCATGATGTTTCAGTCTTCGTAGCAATTATATCATCACTAGTTTGATTAGTAAAATTTGTATTTAGATGGGGAATTAAAATAGCTGAGTACGCCAAACTTACTCCTACTACAAAGTGAAACGAAGCTGCAATAGCTGCACCGGCCACCTAAAAAAGGTTGTTGTTTTATATTTCGGATATATTATATAATTTTAAGAAACAATAATTACTTTAGATACAATTTCAAAACTACTTAAATTACAACGAGCGAAGATATAGTATTCGATTGAAAACGGAGTCAAGGCTGGAAGTAAAGGAATCGGTGACAACAATTAATAATGTCATCGATCCTCATTTCCAAGCTATAACTTGACGTTTGACGAATAACGTTTCAACAAAAATATACATGGCCAAAATTATTGCATATTACGATATTTTTATTTTATTTTGGACCTAATATGATTCTTTTTATATTTTTGGACACATTGGCTTACTACACGACTAACTAATATAAAATTAAAATCTAAGTGCAACTAGGCTGTTATTATAGGTAATTTTATTTCATAATGAGTGAAAATCAGCCAAAAACAAATTTCATTTTAAACAGAAAATATTGAAAACAATTTTAATTATTTCTCATAACTAATAGTCTGTATTGCCTCCTCAATGCAAGCTGTGGGACGACGTGGCATGCTCTCAATTAAGTTTAAAGGGGGGGATCATTCCTTTTGGCAATATGGTTTTTTAGCATGTCCCAAGCATGCTCGATCACATTCATATCTGGAGACATCGGTGGCCACCACCGTTTTCTTATACCCTCTTCCTCACAAAATTCGCGAACCGCTAAAGTGCGATGGGGAGGAGCATCATTATCGTCCATGTAAACAAATTCATACCCCACTGCCCCTCGAAATGGACGCAAAATAGGCTCTAAAACGTCTATAAGATACGAGGCACCTGTCATTGTGCCATCAATAAAAACAAGAGGAGTTCGAGCTTCGTGCATTATACTTGCCCATACCATAATGCTTCCCACTTAAAACGGGACACGGGGTTGAGCTGCATTCAAGCGTGCTCGTCTTCCAGATGCTCTCCAGATCAAAGTTCGTCGCGAGTCTGACACTAGGCCTATTCTTGTTTCATCACTAAATACGACGAAGTTCCAATTAGGTCCATTTGCTCTCATCTCCTCAGTCCATTGTAGTCGCGTAATTTTGTGCTGTAAATTAAGCTTCGGAATACGTAGAGGCCTCCTTAAATGTAATCCTCTGTCACTGAGTCTTCTTGCTACGGCCTTTCTTGCAACATTTACTCCTTCAAGGCGAGCTAACTCATTTTTAATAGCAGTACTAGAAAGCAGGGGATTGCGTCGTGCAATTAGGGATATTTGACGGCCTTACACAGCAGTCGTAACTCTCTATCTACCTCTTCCAGGCCGGTCTGTAACATCGTTTGTCTCCCTGATTTTTTTTAATATTCGCGAAACATCGCTTTGGTTAACTCCTACAATTTCAGCTATCTTGCCGGTAGCCCTGTTGAGACAGTGTTATTATTCTGACTCTACTAAACTGTGAAATAATGTTTCTAGGCATTTTAAGGCCAAAACAATGGTCAAATTTCTTCTGAAACCCAAGAGACCACAAATCGAAATGTGCAAGAATTTGTAATAATATTGGGTCTGAACGATAAACATTGTTTACCATATCCATTTTGACAAAAAAAAAAATGTTTATTACAGATTACCAAAGCTATGTATAAAAAAAGATTCTTTAAATTCCTTTCCGTATATTTTTAAACGATATATGCAATAATTTTGGCCATGTGTGTATACCGGGTGCGTCTCAAAAGTGGCTGACCCCCTATAACTTTTTTATTTTTTCAGATAAAAAAACGACATTTAGTATGTTAGTATATGACATAAATTAGGATTGATTGATGTATTCAATTGTTTTCGGTCACTTCCTGTTTCACCGGAAATGGCTGCAACTTTTGATTTTTAAATGACACTCTCGGTATTTTTTTTACTTTATTCGATAGCAAATAACGCTCCTAATAAACATCAATCCTAATTTATGTCATATACTAACATACCAAATCTCGTTTTTTTATCTGAAAAAATACATAAGTTATAGGGGCAGGCCACTTTTGAGACGCACCCGGTATTTCATAAATGACTAAAGGATTATGAAAGAATTTTTAAAGATAAGCTGCAAAAGATTTTTATTATCTTCTCTGCTCGATTTTTACTTTAATTAGGTTATTCCAAAAATCGAAGATATATTTATTTGCAAAGTCAGGTATTACCTTTGAATAAAAATATTAAAAAACTTGGTGCAGGGTAATAGGAGATTAATACGGCTGACTTCTTGTTCATCAGTGCCGTTCTAATTTTATTTAAAATATAGAGTCGACTCTGTCATATTTTTTTATTTTGTTTTACGGTTGTTGTTGTATTTTGTTTTTAGTCATTAAAATTGCTTAAAAATATATTTTTAATAAAAATAGATAAGTAATATTTAATTTCTGTACGATCGAGTGGCATTGATCCCAGATTAACAATTTTATTAGTAATATATATAGATTTGTTTAATTTTTATTATACTCCATACATTATATTCCATCCTTAATATTTTTACTAATTATTATGTACTCACATTAGGTCGCTGAACGCTTACTTAATATTTTTACTCAAAAAAAAAGTATTACAAACTAAATGTGAACATTTATTCCACTAAAATTTTAGGCATACTTACTTGTGGTAACATTGACTTAAAAGATCTACCTTCATATTTACTAAGAGATCGGACGCTAACAATAATTTCGGCAAATTTGTCACCCTCATCTTCTTCTAAATTAGCATTTTCTTCGACGCTAAAAATCAATACAACATAATATTACAAACTATTTGAGACAGTTTACGAAAAATGCTTTTTATAACTACTACTGGGTAAATGAATTTCTAGTATAGTATGACTTTTTTTGAAACTTTAGTTTCGGAGATATAAATTTAATCGGACCTTTTAAAAAAAATATTTTTTTTTCAGAAACTATTTGAGACAGAGTTTACCAAAAATGCTTTTTATTACTACTACTTGGTAAATGAAGTTCGAGTATAGTATGACTTTTTTTGAAACTTTAGTTTCGGAGATCTTATTTTTACATAATTTTTTTTCTTATTATATTAATTATACAGGGTGTTTCAAAAATATGTGCCATGTCTCGTGGGGAGATTCCTCACGTAAAAATAAGATATATTTTTCATATCAACATAGGTCCGATTCTGCTGTGTTTCGTAGTTACAGGGTGTTAAAGTCTCAATATTTTTTCGATTTATTATAATTTTTTTCCAAGTACTTTTAGTGATTTGAGTGAAATTTTGAGGGTAAAAATTACTATAAGTGCTACATACATATTTTAATGCTAAAAAAGTGTCGATAGATTCATCAGGGAAGTGTATATGTGTTATCACTAGAATATTTAAAAAAAAAACATGTGCTGCATTGACTTTTTTTCTTTTGATATGAGAATTGTGTAGGCCGTTTAATGTCAATTAAAAGTTATCTCTTGATATTTTGTCGAATTCGGCCTCCTTGATTAGATAAACGCAATTTTATTAATCACAATTAATAAAATTAAAATAAAAGTGAAATTAATAAATTATATTTTTTACCTAATTTATTATTAAATATTAATACTATTAGTTATTATTACTATTAGTCCAACATACAGCAATTTCAAATAATAAAATTATGGCATTTAAGATAATTACAAAAAATCTCATTTCAAAAAGTTTTAACATCCTGTAACTCTAAAACTATGCATTTCCATATCCATGTTTATAGGAATTTTTTTTCATATTTTTTGATGAGGAATCAATGAGTACTTATTTATAACTTTCTTAAGTTAAATGATATTAAAATTCTTTTAAAGGTTGCTGTTAGACTTGGATCAAGGCAAATTAATAAAATTGCGTTTATCTCATTAAGGGGGCCGAAATAGACAAAATATGAAAAGACAACTTTTAATCGACATTAAACTGCTTACACTATTTCGCTAACAAAAGAAAAAAGTCAGTGGCGTACATGGTTTTTTTTAGAAAAATATTCCAGTGATAACCCATATGCACGTCCCTGGTGAATATGACGACATTGTTTAGCCTTAAAATATGTCGCATTTATAGTAACTTTTACCCTCAATTTCATTCGAAACGAACTTGGAAGAAAAATATAACAAATCGAAAAAATATTAAGACTTTAACACCCTGTAGCTAGGAAACAAAGCACAATCGGACCTATGTTGATATCAAAAATAAATCTTATTTTTAAGTGGGGTATCTCTCCACGAGAGATGGCACATGTTTTTTGAAATACCCTGTATATTTTCTTGTTGAGTAGACTGAAGCATGGTGGTAAGTGTGAATACATAATTAATAACTTAACTAAATGAAAATATCATCTCTTATGGAAACTTATGCGAGATGATAAATTACAATTAAGTAGCAATATGTTTGGAAAGAAAATAGGCGAGTTTTCAATTTGGTTATTGATAGGGGCTGGGCAGTTATCTGCTCAGGCAAATTGATTTGTGTATATGTTTTACGCCTTGACTTTTATCGGCATGATTTATGAGTTTATTAGATATTTATACTTCAATATTGAAGGTGTTTTTATAATTTGATGTTTTGATCACTTTCTAGAAAGTTTTCTATAGTGCGGAGTACGAAATTTAGTTTACCCTTGAATTTAGTGAAATGGTAAAAAATGGAGACGATAAATTTGTTATTCTTAATATTTCTATCGTTTTTTTACTATACCAAGTGATAAGATATACAGGTATCATAAAAAAACGGCGTCTAGGAGGCTTGTGAATGACGATCGATGACATTCCCCATGTAAATTTACACACAAAATGACAGCGAGCTTCATTTCAACGCCAACGCTGACGCCATTTTTATCGATCATATTTTATAACTATGAAAATGTCGTTAAACAACATTATAAATACAGGGTGAGTTTCCTAGGATGTTCTCTATGGGTATCTCGGAAACTACTAGAGATAGAGAGTCAGTTAAATGGGGAAAGAATTGCAGTTTTGTGGGGTCATAAATATGCGCTTTTCAGATTTTCGAAAAAGTTCATGGCTTACTAGATATTTCGAAAAAAACAAATTTTGGCTATTTTAAAAATTGTCCCTAATTCCATTATAATCTATTTTAGACAAAAAGTTTTCAGATAAAAGTTGTAGATAATCACATCCTTAATGAGACTGTGCTCTCCGATTTTTTCTAAAGCTTGTCATTTTTGACATATGACACAAACATATGTTTTTTTAAATGGAAACCATAGTTGGCCATGACTTCATAAATAGCGCCATTTTTTAAGCTTTTCAGCGATATAAGCTATAATATGTTTCTTTCACAAAATTACTGAGTTATAGCCAATTCTTATATTTCTTGACTAATTTCACTTAGTTAGCCATGGAAACAAGTTCAATTGTCGTTGCTCTCAGAAATGTGAAATTGTCACATCCAATCTTTGTAAATTAAAATAAACAAAAATTGTAAATACGAGTTTTTCAAATGAATAAAAGCGTGTAGGATTATTGGTTCAACTTTTCTTGGCCATACAGTTTCGAGAATACGTTGACCGGTGAACGTTACTTATGTTTTTTAGAGAACGGTTTTCAAGACATGTTAGAAAAGTTAAATTTAAATACTCGTTCATTAATAGAGTGGTTCCAATATGACTTTCATTATGACACACCAACCCCCCCCCCCATAATATAAGAAATGTTAAAAATTATTTCATTATCATAATTATGTAGACTCAGGGATAGAAAGAGGTGGACCAATTGCATGGGTCTCCTCGGTCACCTCACCTATCCATTTTAGATTTTTTTTATGCGGTATGGTTAACAAAAGAACTTATGAACTTATGAGAGGCTCTCGAAGAGGCGGAACAGGAGAAGTTTAATAAAGTCGACCGGTCGTTCTGTGACAATAGCTAGAAATTCAGTTTTAAATAGATGCATTTATGTACTGAAAACAATTGCGGATTTTTTGAACATTTTCTAAAATAACTTGTGTATTGTAGCATTTTCTATTTCCTTTAATAAAATTGAATTTAAAATTCTATTTTTATTTAAATTTCTTAGTATTGGCGCCATCTATTTGCTAGATGCCAAAGATATCAAACTTCATTTATTACAGTTCACTTGTCTTGATTATTAGCGCCATCTATTCGCTATATGCCAAACTTCCTTAATTGTATTTCACTTGTCCCGATATTTAATTTTTATTAGCGCATCTATTCGCTAGATGTCAAACTTCATTTATGACAGTTCGGTTCTGAAACTGAGAAGAACAGGGCCATGTAAGTGAAATATTAAAAATGGTTCGAGCAAAAGTTTCCCAATTATGACGGATGATGGCGCTGATCGTCAAAATTTTTGGACAGGGATTTTGCTTACCGACAAAACGACGTGAGCTACGACCGGACCAGGACCAATCAGAATGATCAGTCCAGGGCCATGTAAGTGAAATATTCAAAATGGTTCCAGCAAAAGTTTCCCAATTATGACGGGTGATGGCGCTGATCGTCAAGATTTTTGGACAGGGATTTTGCTTACCGACAATACGACGTGAGCTACGACCGTACCAGGACCAATCAGAATGATCAGTCTTTCTTGGAGATTTGCCGCGGAAGTGTGTGTTAATTTCTGTTGTGGTAAGTGTGGTTGTGTTTGCAGTTTGATTTTTCGGTTTTGATATTATGTTAAAATTAATTTTGAAGTATTGTATCACCTGTTTTTATGTAATAGTACTTTTTTTAGTTCTATGATCTGATATGTTATGATTTGTTAATGTTTGTTTAACAATGTTATCCAAAGAGGTTATACAGTTCGTCTGTTGGATCTGTGTCTATGAAAGGAATGCGGACAAAAAACATTTAAATAAACAGCAATATATTTTATACGTCGACTTGACGAGTACGTCACCGCAAATTGCTCCACCCACTCATTTTATTGGCTACTTGCAAATTTGTCGAATTTTTATTGATGGGATGCGTCGTCTAATTTTTTACGAAAAACATCGAGAGAATATCGTTTCCCCTCTCACGGATACCCCGTAGCCACAGAACGGACAGACGTACTGTACTTAATATATCAATTTGCATAGCCTAACTTTTTTATCAATAAACTTTGTAGATTTTCAGATTATTTAATTCCTTTTGTTTCCGGTTGTAATTTTATTTTTAAGACATATTATGCGATTGTTTCAGATAATATGTTTTAAAAATAAAATTGCAAATAGCGAATAAAAATAATTTAAAATAACCAAACCAAACCAAACCAAACAAGTGTATTTTACAATTCCCCCCGGCCCCGCACCCCTTTGGCTAACCTGTAAATGTCAGCTTTGTCGAGAGATGGCGTTACGAAAATGGAACCGATTTATTACAAGGAACTTGGGCTTCTTTTTCGTTAGTATATTCTCATATTCTGTGGATCAGTCTTTCTTGGACATTTGCCGCGGAAGCGTGTGTTAATTTCTGTTGTGATAAGTGTGGTTGTGTTTGCAGTTTGATTTTTCGGTTTTGATATCATGTTAAAATTAATTTTGAAGTATTGTATCACCTGTTTTTATGTAATAGTACGTTTTTTAGTTCTATGATCTGATATGTTATGATTTGTTAATGTTTGTTTAACAATGTTATACCAAAGAGGTTATACTTAATATACTTATCAATTTGCATAGCCTAACTTTTTTATCAATAAACTTTGTAGATTTTCAGATTATTTAATTCCTTTTGTAATTTTATTTTTAAGACATATTATGTGATTGTTTCACATAATATGTTTTAAAAATAAAATTGCAAATAGCGAATAAAAATAATTAAAATAAAAAAGTGTATTTTACAATTCCCCCCGGCCCCGCACCCCTTTGGCTAACCTATAATGTCAGCTATGTCGAGAGATGGCTTTACGAAAATGGAACCGATTTATTACAAGGAACTTGGGCTTCTTTTTCGTTAGTATATTCTGTGGAGAAGAAGGTCTTTCTTTTTGGGAATTTGGATCTGAAGAAGACGCGTGTGTCGGCGTCCGACAAATTTTCCAGTGAAAAGCACTCTGAATCCACTTTTCGATTTCCATTGCATGGGTGTCCGATTAGGAGATTTGAAAACCTTGTAAAGTATGCAATTCAGAGTATAGATCGTATTTGTTTGGTTTCTTCTTGGAATGATCACCGTAAGTTTATCCGCCATTTTATATAGCCCTATCTAACTAAATTCTATTTCAGTTATTTCCGTTTTATTTCGTTTATTTGAGTATTTAATTACTGGTTTGGATCGGCATATGGTTTGAATATATTTATGTAAAGCTGATTTTCAGACCGTAAGTTGTTTTTTTTATTGAGTATCTGTCCTGAGAACTATTTTTTATTTATAGAGTAACTACCACATGGTACTCAGTAACTACCACATGGTACTCAGTAATTACCACATGGTATGCAGTAATAATGCAGTAATTATTGTATGTTTCACCCACTTTCATTTTGTATGGACCTATGCAGACCTTAACACAGTGTTCCTGACATTACAATCGTTTTTTTTTTTGGCTGATATCGAAGACTTCTCCTGCCATAGTCATCTGCATCCACTTCTGTTAGTCTGGAGAATACCTACCTACCTGTTTACATCATAAGAAACTATATACAGATAAGTCTCTCTCTCTCTCTCTTAAGTTTGATACACAAGGTACGCTTTTATTTTATAATTTTTGAGACAACAGATTTAATAACCTGGTAAATTATCACTATTTATCCCACATATTGTAGTCAAAATTATTTTTTATTTAACGTTATAAGTTATAATTTGATTCGTACAGTAGACTCTTACTTAGCTATGATATTTTATATGAAAATTATTAACACGTATTCATTTTAAAGGTTTTTGTACACGACATGTTTCGAAACATCATCGTATTGAGACATACATAAATTTCACCTGTTTTTATATTAAGTAGCTTACTTAGTTCAAAGAATACAGTTACTAAATTCGAATCTATTTAAAATAACTTGCGGTTTTATTGGGATCACTGTGACTAATCGATGATACTTGTGTTCGTTTTCAATAAATGTTTAATGTAGGATAGTTATTTCTGACTTTTATTCCTGATAAACATAATAAACCCTTAATGCTGTTGATTACTTTATTTTAGCTATGTTGTGATATCGTATTTTTCTTTTTGGTTTCTTACTTTACCACTCTCATAAACAAAGTAAGTGGCGCCCTTTTCACTGTCTTTGACCATATCTATTTGAATTCTTAACATCAATATTAAAATCTCTGCAGCCTATATATGTTATCATTTTTTTTATTTTTTTAACAACATTAGAAAGTCACTGTGAGTCGGAAGCCTTACCTACGAACCCAGCTTTCCTCTAACCCTGAGCAACGGATTCTTTTTTCATTCTATTTGGGTAACGACAGAAAAGTCGTCACAGTATGTATTGATTATTTTTTTAAGTTTTAGTTTGTGTAATGTAAATTGTAAAGAGCCCTTTAATAATATATTTTGTCTTTTTATAAGTTATAAATCATAACAAAATTAGAACACCATTGGAAACCGTTCTCTAAAAAACGTAAGTAACTTGCACTGGTCAACGTATCTTGTATGGTCAAGAAAAGTTGAACAAATAATCCTACATGCTTTTCTTCATTAAAAAAAAAATATTTACAATTTTTGTTTATTTTAATTTACAAAGATTGGATGTGACAATTTCACATTTCTGAGAGCAACGACGATTGAACTTGTTTCCATGGCTAACTAAGTGAAATTAGTCAAGAAAGATAAGAATTGGCTATAACTCAGTAATTTTGTAAAAGAAACATATTATAACTTATATCGCTGGAAAGCTTAAAGAATGGCGCTTTTTATGAAGTCATGGCCAACTATGGTTTCCATTTAAAAAAACATATGTTTGTGTCATATGTCTAAAATGACAGGCTTTAGAAAAAATCGGAGAACACAATCTCACTTAGAAATGTGATTATTTACAACTTTTATCTGAACACTTTTTGTCTAAAATAGATTATAATGGAATTAGGGACAATTTTTAAAATAGCCAAAATTTGTTTTTTTCGAAATATATAGTAAGCCATGAACTTTTTCAAAAATCTAAAAAGCGCATATTTATGACCTCACAAAACTGCAATTCTTTCCCCATTTAACCGACTCTCTATCTCCAGTAGTTTCCGAAATACCCATAGAGAACATCGTAGGAAACTTACCCTGTATATTGCGAAAATTAATTAAATATTTATTAATATTATTACAAGGTTAATTAATTTTATCTTTAATAGTTTTTATCATGTTTATCAAAAGATAATTTAGTAGTTTAGTAGTAATTTTTAGTAGATATTTTTTTCAGGGCAGTTAAAAAATTAAACTTTCCTTGTATTTTCCCATATTTAGTAAAACTATGTAATGAAATACTACTAACAATTATTAAAAACCACACCACAAATAACAATATATAAATATTATAATTACTTACTGCAAGTTATAGCAGCTGGAACTGAAATGAAAAAAAAAGGATTAATTATTATTAATTATATAAGAAAACTTGTTATCTATATAATTTATAAGTCTATTTTATTTTTGATTAAAATCAGTTGTTCAGTATCAAAAAATTGGCAATTTCTGAGATTATTGAGTTTAGCCTAGTAATTTTTTTTTTGTATTAATCATATTTGAAATAAAGTGATGTTTCATTGGCATTACTCAATTAATTTAATGTCTCTTATATATAATTTTTTACTAAAAAACCTGATGGTAATGACTGGCAAATTTAGACTTACCCAATAGGATCCATTTTTTACTTCAGATCTTCTTGCTCATATCACTGAAACACAGCATACAAATCTGCAACAAATACCATAAAATCAAAACTAATCGATATTTATTACTGCTAAATAATTTTTATCTATTTTGAGCGTCAAGAGACGCCTGATAATTACGTTATTTTCCTCTTGAAATCGATAACTTTTGTTTAAAATGTACTCATCGTTTTATTTTTCTACTACATCATCTACACTACACATTATTATAGGTAAATGGTAGTATAGCAGCTCTTCAATTATCACATTGATAATTATCTTATTAGTGGTATTATGAAAATATTCCAACCGCTTGTGTAATATATTCAAATAATTTTCTGTTTGGGAAAGAAATATATTCAATATTAAATTGAATATTTCACTCATCTACAAAAAATCCCATATGGAGCGGGTAATTTTCGGCGAAAATTGCCTGCTAAAATCGAAAATTACCCGGCGAAAATTTCCCGCAGAATGTCTAAGTGACAATGACACATTTATCACTTAGACGTAAATTATTTATAATAGGTATTCTAAAAATGTCTCGATTTGGAAACGATTCTTATGGTGCGTTTAGACTTGAGCACGCACGAGTTGAGCGTGCGCGCACGGCGTTCGTTGGCACTCTTGGCTCCGTTCAAATTAAAAACTTATTTTTCGACGAATGAAGTGATCCATTTTTGCGCACACAGCAGAGTTGTGTTGGCGAAAATAATGGACGACCAAGAAATAGTCGAGGCTGCAGTCATTGTTATGCACAGCTTAATTATTAAAAAGAAGAAAAATCGAAAACATCGTCGCTGATGGCAAACACAAATTTTTAGAAATCGATATAATTTACTGCAACAACTTAGTGTCTGAGGAGGGCTATCAGTTCAAAAACTTTACAAGAATCACCAGGCCCGACTTTGAATATTTACAAAATTTAATAACACCAAAAATTACGAACAAAAGATACACATTTTAGAATAGCAATTTCATTAATATCGACATATTCAATATTAATTTTATTTACAAGGTCTTGCCATGCGTTATTTTTAGCCGACAATACCAAAGGTATGGTAGGCTATTAGGATCGGCAAAAAAAAAAGGTTTTTAATTTCACTCAAAATGAGTTATTTGGGTCATAAATGACCTAAATACAAAATATTTTCATGGTGTCTGTCTGTCTGTCCGTCTGTAACACGATAACTCAAAAACCGCTGAACCGATTTTAACCAAATTTGGCACAAAAATACTGTGGCGCCCGAGAATCTGGCCATTAGTTTTTGGTAGAGGTGGGGAGTTGGGAAGGGGGTATGGGAGGGGGTTAAAAATTTTAAAAAATCGTAACTCCAAAATTACAGTAGCTAGCGAAACGCGGTTTTCAAATTAAGATTAGGTTTAATACTTGCAACAAAATTTGTAATAACATCAAAATCAGTCAAAGTCGCAGTTTTCGAGATATTAACATATTTTAGTATGGGCGGCATACGTACCTCCCGGCGCCAATTTTTTATTTTTTTTATTTTTTAATAATACAAAGGATGTTTAACATCCCATAATGTAGGCAACTTTTTATATTCTTCAATTAATAATAACGAAGATTCATTGATCCACTTCATATTTTTAATAAAGAAAACGAAAAAAAATCACACACGCACGCACGAACGCAGACAAAACAAATTGCCGGTCCAAACTGAGCGTTCGCGCACACATAAAATCCCTTTGAGCACGGACCAAAAACCGACACCAGACGGCTCACGTTCGCGGCTACTCGCGCACAGAGAGATTCAGAGTGAGCGTGCGCGCACAGCCGTTTACATTTGAACATTCGCGGAGGATCAGTGCGTGCATGCTCAAGTCTAAACGCACCATTAAAGCGTAATTGAAGAAAAAGTTGCCAAAATTAAGCCGAAAAACACTATAATTAATCACCAGAATGTAGGGAAACAGTTTATGGACTTTATGAAAGATAGAAACTACATTTTGGATGCGAACATCTCAATCTCGGCACTGGTTAATATTTTGACCGATTGGGCATTTAATGTGACAAGGAAAAACGGCTAAGACTATAAGGATTTTACGGTAAAAACTATTTGCAATGCAACAGCCAAGTTATTAATGGAAAAATACCAAAAAGAATATAATATTAAATAATTTTTAATTTCTAATATTATAAGTTCTGTTTCATTTTATTGCTTCATTTTTAAATAGATTTTTTTAATATGTTCAAATAAATGTTTTTAAAAAATCTGTGTATTTTCATGTTTTTTATTCGCGAAATATTCTACCGTATTATACTCGGGCATCAACATTAACCTGATAATTTTTCATTTAAGCATGTTGTCAATAAAAAACAGCATTCGTTTATATTCATATTTTGGAAGAGCCCTCCTCCTTCGAAGTCGGGCTCTTACGGCAAAATATGAATATAAGCTCATGCAGTTTTTAGACAACATGTTTTCATGAAAAATTATCGGTAATTTTGATGCACTTGGGTAATTACTTCCGAATATTTCACTCATGTACAAAAAATCCCATATGAAGCGGGTAATTTTTGGCGAAAATTGCCCGCTAAAATCGAAACTTACTCGGCAAAAATTTCCCGCAGAATGTCTCGATTTGGAAACGATTCTTTAAGTGCAATTGGAGAAAAAGTTGCCGAAAGTAACGGGTTGTGGTTCGAAAGACCAAAATGTTTCTGGCTTGTAGGACCAAAATGTATCTTGGCGGAGAACCAAAATCTAGATGACTCTGGTAGTTGGACTGTCGAAGGACCAGTTGAAATAACGTTCAACAACGATAACTTTTACACACTTATATGATAGACAAATATACCACAAATGAAACTTATTAATAATACTTAAAATAAGAACATTTAAAATTTCTCGTAACAATTATAAAAGCCAAAGGAAAAACTGTCGATATGCGGATGGCGTCTTTCGACGCGACGTGCGTCGAAACGTGAGGAAGAGGAAGAGGAAGAGGAAGAGGAAGAGGAAGAGGAAGAGGAAGAGGAAGAGGAAGAGGAAGAGGAAGAGGAAGAGGAAGAGGAAGAGGAAGAGGAAGAGGAAGAGGAAGAGGAAGAGGAAGAGGAAGAGGAAGAGGAAGAGGAAGAGGAAGAGGAAGAGGAAGAGGAAGAGGAAGAGGAAGAGGAAGAGGAAGAGGAAGAGGAAGAGGAAGAGGAAGAGGAAGAGGAAGAGGAAGAGGAAGAGGAAGAGGAAGAGGAAGAGGAAGAGGAAGAGGAAGAGGAAGAGGAAGAGGAAGAGGAAGAGGAAGAGGAAGAGGAAGAGGAAGAGGAAGAGGAAGAGGAAGAGGAAGAGGAAGAGGAAGAGGAAGAGGAAGAGGAAGAGGAAGAGGAAGAGGAAGAGGAAGAGGAAGAGGAAGAGGAAGAGGAAGAGGAAGAGGAAGAGGAAGAGGAAGAGGAAGAGGAAGAGGAAGAGGAAGAGAAAGAGAAAGAGAAAGAGAAAGAGAAAGAGAAAGAGAAAGAGAAAGAGAAAGAGAAAGAGAAAGAGAAAGAGAAAGAGAAAGAGAAAGAGAAAGAGACAGAGAAAGAGAAAGAGAAAGAGAAAGAGAAAGATGCTGTTATAAGAATTTCCTCTATAGTTATAGAAATTATTGTTTTATGAATTGTTTCTTGTTTAGGTTGTAGTAGTATAGAAACTAATCGTACACCTTTCGAGTTTGCTGAAGCAACCCAGAGAATTCGAAGATAAATAAATAATTTTGCAAACTGTCTGTATGGATGATTAGCTAATTATGATAAGAGTATAATATTTGTAATAACACTAAATAAAATCTTGTTCTATATAATACGATAATTCTTGATATAAGGTTGTATGTACTCATTGCGTTACATTTTGAAAAGTTATTTATTGTATACGGTCTAAAAAAAAAGTAAAACAATAGCTAGTTTACATTCGTTTGTTATTAAGGTCCTTTTGTTAAATTATTTACAGGGTGTAGAATTGACGAACACAAACATCTTAGTTTATCTTTACTGGGAAACAAATTTATACATAACAATGAATACAATAAACAAACAATGACAGAGGGTTTTTTGGTTGAGCATAGAATTAGAATAAGTAGATTTTATTATTAAAAATCTAAATTAATCAGACAGAAAGACAGACGGATGTAATAATACGCACATAGTGCCGAAACAATTTTTGTATTTATTTTTTTTATTTTAATGTATTTGCCATGGCCATAAAGGTATCAACAATAATTATTGAATCACTAAGTTGGTTAAGTATTTATTGTTTGTTAATTTTACTACCTTTTTTTTAAACATAAATTTTCTTATTTAGCAATTGTGATTAATTATATTACTTAACATTTCGAGAGGTATAACTTTATTTCCCAATTGTTTTTTCTAATAAGGCATTTTGAGTACTGAATATTTTCGCTACAGTGATTATATTCCTAGATAAAATTCAAGTAGGTATTTTAAGACCACCACAAAGAGATACACAGGATATTTTTTTTTATTGTTACTACGTTGATATAATATAAATCCGTTATTACTGTAAAAGCAATATTATATATAATATTAATAATATTACTATAAAATTTATTCCTTTTAATCATAGCGTAATTATCAAAAATTGAAAATACACAGTGTCCATATTTTATAGGAAAATGTCATATAATTGATATATTGGTCTAACAGAACAGCCAACTACTTCACAGATATTAGTAGATGTCAAAGATATCAGTCATGTCGCCCTTTAATTAAAAGGGAATTCGAATTCGAATGAAAATTACCAAGTCATTATAATTATTATATAAATAAAGATGACTATAATATTGATACTAACAATTTATATCAAAATTGTTGCATAGGTGCTTAAAGAGAGACTAAATAAAATAAACTGACTTGGTTTTACATCTCATAACTTTTTATACCGGAGGAATTGTGTTGCCAAACTTAGCATTTTTTTACATTCTATGTTTTTGATGGGATCTTATTTATTATGTCTCTTGCAATCTCCCCACAAGAGATGGCACATGCTTTTTGAAACACCCCAAAAATAATGAAAATTGGGTCTAATATTTAATAAT